TATTTCCACAGGAGTCCTATTTTGGGCTAATTTTTAGAAGATAGACAATTACACAGAGGAAGGGTAAAACATTAAAAATACTTTCATGCTGCATGCTGTTATGAAGTATACACCTGGAGAATCTGAGAAGACCAGAAACTTCATATCAAATTAAAATTGCTACCTATTACAAACTTCCAGTATTTTAATTGGCAACTCTACATATTTTCCTTGCTTCTCAAATTATAGGTTAGGTCCGCAGTTGGGAAAATCAGTTTATTTCTGTCAAAGTCAAGGAATTTTTACCACCTAAGTATTTAGCTGTATGTATATTTTAAAACTAAAAAGCAGTAATTTTGTTAACAGTGAGCTTCACAGCACCCTACTTTATATAGCTAACTGCAGATGTAAATTTACTCCTATTAATGTTAAGTGTTTGTGACAAATTACTAAGCAATGCTTGTGATGATGGTCTCTCCTAAAACAACATCAGTCATCTGAAAACTAACACATACAAGAAACTGTTTTTAAATCACCTTTATTTAAACACAAGATAACATTAAAAAATGTTTCTAGTAACTGCTTAAATTGTGGCTTGCTCATATCTGAGCTACAATATATTTATATTTTATTTAAAGGACTTAGAAGCATCTTATTAATGCTGTGCTGCCAGTTTGAAGCCTATGTTTATCTTGCAAGATCGAGAGGATGAGCACAAGCTCTTTTGTCCCTGTCAGGCACTGGGACAGGCCTGCAATATTCTTTGATTGAGAGGCAGCAACTTCCCAGATTCACTTCTTCACAGGGCACAGATAAGCACTTCAAAGCTTCCCCACTGCAGGGCACAGCAAAGGATGTACTTAAACCTTCTGTTTCTTTGCAGGTGCAATAACTAAACAGCAACTCTCTTACCTACTTTCTTCAAGGGAAGAAAAGTGTATGTGCAAGGCTGCAGTAAACAGCATGCTGTAGCCACTTGTACTCACTGGGCTGTAAACCAGGCTGGAGTGACTAAAACTCCCATGCGAGATAATATAAATTGAAGCTGGGATGTTCAGGGAGAGCCTAGGTTGCTATAAAGTAATAACAATGCAATTCTTTCTAAAAGTTAGGAAGCTCTTTCCAGGAAGACCTTACAAAAGCTGTCACCATTCTATGATTCAGATATTTCAAATCAAGGAAAAGTAAACCAAGACAGAACAGATGCTTAAAATACAGAATAATCTTCAGTGTGTGTCCCAAGATAAGAGTGAGGAATCTTAAAGCTATGTTTCTGCAGCAAGAATGCCAAGTAAAAAAAGAGGTGAGCAAAGTTCTTTGAAAAGTAATTTTTTAAAATGGAAGTATTGCTGATCTGCTGTCTTTTCTACTTCTTTAATTTAGTACAAACTAGATCATCTAGGGCTAAAAAGAACTTGGTTTTCCAGATGAAATATCTTAAGAACTGACAACTATTAAACTGTGGCTTTCTTTATTGCTGAAACCTATCATAGAAACCTTTGGTTTATACCAAGACATTTCTTGGTGTGCTTGTCTAAGCAGTCTTCTGTAGTATCCTGACATTAGGAAACATCAATCTTTCAGAGTTAACAGTGTTGTGTTTTGCCTTGTAGAAGTTACAAGTACAAAGAAACAACTTCCTCCTCACTTCCTCCTGTGAGAACACAGCATGTTTTCCTATTTTCAGTTCCACCCCTTCATTCCACTATATAATGTCTTTTCCATGAACAGCAATTTACATGTCCTCTGACCTCTCAGTAACTGGTGCAGCTTACAGCCCCTTTGCTGGTCTGCAGCCCTCCCTTCCACCCAGCCTTGGACCCTGCTGGGGGCTGCTTGTTCAAAGCCAATGTAACGAGAGAATGGGAGAGGACTGACATTTGGAAGAATACAAAGGATCAGGTCTTATCTGAAAGTGCATGTCATGTGAACTGCATATTGGGCATAACTGGCAGGCCTTTAGTATTGGAAGTTGCAAGAGAAGCGGCCATGGACTCCTCTGTGCCAGTTACAGCAGCTGTCAGCCATTTTGAAAGGGATGAAAACAATCCACTACATGCCAAAACCTCAGCTAGGTGAAAGCAGCACATGGCACTTCTGCTCAAACATATTTAAAAAAAGAGCAGCCCCTAGGTCAGGAGACGCTAGAGAAAATGTGGTATCTGTGAGATGAAGAAAGTGGAGGAGACACATGGAAGGAAGAGACACCGTCTTGGACAGAGCCACACCATGCCAAAGAAAGGACACCCTGTAGGGAACTGTGGCACACAGAGGATTCACTGTGAAACAGTGGAATAGTAAGGCAAGAAGCAGTGGAGGAAAATGAGTAAGAAGCAAGCAACAGCAGAAAGAACCATTGCACACTGATCCCAACATTGCCCAGTGCCTCAAAGAAAGAATTGGGGCAAAGGGACTGATTGTAACACCTATTGAAAGCAAGGGATGTCAAGACCAGAAAGGGGTAGGAGAGATCCTTAACTTGATCTTGCGAAGGAAGGATGTTTATCTCTGCCTTTTTCCTCTCTGTATCTGAATCAGTAGTTGAAATTTTGTGTTAGCCATCAATAAATTAAATTAAGCAGGAAGTCCCATGTGAGACTGCTTTATCTGCAAAGACCTATCATACCTTCCACAGGAGACAGAAGCCAGAATATTTGCTGTGCATGAAAGAGTTGGGAGGTACAAATGTCTTCAAGAAATCTATAGGAGTCACATGTGCTTGTCTGCCCTGAGATCTCAAACTCTCAAACGTAAGAATAGTTATTCTTAGAAACTATTTGCAGTGTGGCTACTGACTTTGTACAGCCTCTCATGCCTTCCCGTCATCCTTCTTGTACCATTTGTCAATGCTTGTCCCCCACTGACCTCACATCACTGCCATGGCACAAGAAGCTAAACTGGGGAAATGATATCCAGTGGTGCAAGAGATTTTTCACCATCCTACAGGTATTTTAACAGAACAAAATAAAGCAAATGCTCTGTTCACTTCTCATAAACAGCTGTATATTAGCTGTCATATTGGAAAATGTTGTTCAAATGTTTTAACTGCTGGCACCAACTCCCAGAATTTGGGAATTCACACTTTCCTTAGAGGAACCTAGGTTTAAATAGACATCACTAGCAGAGCAATTGTCAGCTCTTCAGTATTGACAGAGCTGTTTCCACTGAAGTTAAATCACTAATTCTTTAAAAAATTCCATCCAATATAACCTCTCTTTCAAACTCCTCTTTTTGTGGGATGAGGCATAATGCTTTGTTGATTGTAAACTAAATGTGCTCTTTCTCCCTGTGTCTGACTAACCATGCAGAATTTTTTTGTTTTAGCATTCAAAATTACAGTCCAGCAATATTTGGAAATGTGTAAAATGCAAAGCTCTAGCATATGGTGAAAAACACACAGCTGCATTTATACGCTAAATAAAGTCCTTGTTTTTATTTCAGTTTTACCACCAGGTGAAGGTACAATCAGAAAGAATCTGTTGAAGTCAGTGACATTATGTAGCAGCTACACTGGGGAAACCATGGTCAGAATCAGGAACTTGTTTCTTTTGTCCTGCCCTTAGCCCATTTGTGAGATGTTAACACACAGGTACTGAGGGAAGGAGCTAGGGTCACAGTGAAAATGAATGTGTCATCTTTTATTCAGTGTGGAAGGGTCTGCATTACTAATTGGAATATTCACTGCTATCTATGATTCTCCAATGCATTATGTCAGATTACAATCTGCCTGAGCTCTCTGGAATTTGCTTTCAGGTATTTGTATTTCTGTGCCACTTGAAAAAATACCATTGTGGTAGTCTGAGCATGGAAATAAAAGCCAGGAAACCTGAAGACATGGTTCCCTCAGTAACCATGTGTCATCCAGATTGCTCACAATAAGGCAAAGCATTAACAGCATGAACGAAAACATCAACCACTTCACTGCAGAAGAGAAATGGCAGTGCATTATGTCTGTAGAGGGAATCATAATTTAGAGTTGCCTGCCTTTTGTACATTACTTGTTTTCATTCACAGAGCATTTTATGCCTTGAAAATGCACTGCTATACTTTCACAAATTGCACTGCATGATTTTACAGGGCTCCTGATATGTAACAAGCAAAAAATTTGGAAGGGTTTGCATGATGGGTGGTTTCTACAGGAGGACTTCATGTCGGAGGACACCTTCAGCAACCAGACAATATTGCTAAGACCAGGCCATTTCTCTGGCCTGGTCTTAGCAAAACACACTATCAATATTCATGGATTTTGTATTTGGAGCAAGTCAGCTTGCTCACGGTGAACTGTTAAAAATAAATTGAGATTTGTTTTTATAAAGTTTGTGAATAGTTGTAAATTCCTCCATAAAATGACACAACTGAATTCATCCTCATTTGTCCCTATCTATCCAAGTGTTATCTTTCACACTTCCTTGCCTTTTTATTGCTATAATGGAGTACAGGACGTCTGGTCCTGTTGAAGCTGTTTATCATTGATTGATTCCTTTCAGGCTAACACTCCTGGTACACTCAGTACCTCCGCAGCTCTAGAGCTGAGGACGGATCTGTGCCCAGTTTGTACCGGCTCAGCTCGGGAGATGCGGGGAGCGGTGCAGGCCTGGAGACGTGGGGGCTGGAGCACACTCACTTCGCAGGTAACTCCTTGCCCGGGTTTCTGCTCTTTCTTCCCACAGTCCCCGGGAAGAGACGCCCGGGAGGCCGGCGCGGGAGGCAACGCGAGGGGCTGGGATGGTTCTCAACGCACCTGGGAGCGCGGAGTTTCACAAAAAGCAACGAGGGTAGCGCACGGAGCGCCGTCCCGCTGAACGACGCCGAGGCGGACGTACGCATCCTCGCAGCTTGTTTTTGGCTGCAGTGTGCACGCCCACATGCAAAACGCCGCGCACTCCTCCACCTTCCCAATAGCAGCCGCCGCCGAGGGAAATGAAAAAAAAAAGGGTGGGGGCGGGGGAGGGGGACCGGCGGAGGACAGGAGAGGAGAAAAAGAAGGAAGGAAAGAGCAAACAGAAAAGAGAAAAGGAGACAGCAAGTAGACCCCGGAGGGAGGAGAAAAGCAGCGTGCTGGGCGGCCCCGGCCGTGGAAGGGGCGGGCTGGCCCGCCGGGGGTAGCTCCGCGCCGCCCCTATAAAAGGCCCTGCGGGGCGGGGGCGCCCGGTAGCGGCAGCGGGGCCGGCGTCGGGGTCGGGAGCGGAGCCGGAGGGGATCGGGGCGCGGAGCAGACGGCGGCTCCCCTCGGGACCGACGGCGGCTGCCGGCCGGGGAGGTAGGCGGCGGGGGGGAAGGACGCATCCCGGGCAGCTGTCGGGGAGGCTCCTCACTTGTCCCCTCTCCGCCTGGAACGGGCGGCGCAAAGCTAGAAGAAAAACACAAATGAGTGTGGGTGTGCTTTGTTATTGTTTTGGGGTTTTGTCTGTTTATTTTCTTACTGCTTTGGGGTTTTCGTCTTCCGACGTGGTGCCTCTCTCTGCGCCGAGACTGTCGTCAGCGCGGCTCGGAGAGTTTACCGCGTAGCGGTGCATTGGAGAGGGGCTGATAGTGTTTGTGTGTGTGTGTGGGGCGTGGTTGTGTGTGCTTATTTTTTAAAAAATAGTTATTTTATTTTAGCTTATCCTGAGCGAGGCGACTCTGACTTGGCAGCGCTCACGGAGGGTGGCTCACCTTACCTCTGCCTCTCCCGGCCCCGATGGGTGCTGGAAGATAACGGGAGGGTTTTCATCCCCTTCACTCCTACGCGAATCCTGTAAAGTCGCGGGGGTGGGATAAAGGGAGGGCCTTGGCATGGGGGGGGGGAGTGTAAAAATAAAAAAATCGATGTGGCTGCCTTTGTGATGGGCAGGAGGCTCAGTTGTATGCAACAAATCGTACTGCTGCGTGCTAGACTGTTGTGAAGTCTGGAGTGCTACACTGCAACCTATCATCAGATTGTTGTTACAGAAGATGAGCTGCACAGCAGCCCAGATGCTTGAAACCTGTCTGGAAAGATACTCGGATTCTAAATTAAAAGTCCTTATTAAATCCCTACTTTTTCCTAGTTTTAACCAGAAGTGCTCCCTTTCCCCCAAGCTGTTGGCCTGGGAGATTTTAAAGGTTGTACAAAAACATACTTAAAGGATCAAAGTTGATTTCAAGTGTGTTGGAATAGACCTCGGTGAAGCCAGTGGGGTGTAAACATCTTCTAGATTAAAGCCTAAAATGAGTTGAATGTTTTTGAAAATTACTGCTATGGATTAATACATTAAAATTTATTTTCAGCTTTGAAAATGAGTTGATCCTTGTGTTGCGGAGAAGAGCCGGGTCTTGGGGATGTTCCATTAACAACAGATGGTCAAGCCTGCTGTCGAAAGGCTATTGTAATGGAGCAGTCTTGCTCAGTTTTGAAAGGGGGTCATGGTAGTAAACATTCAGTGCAAATGCTTTTTGTGCTTGGTGCTTGTGGCACAGCTTGACTCCCTTACAAGTGAGAATGGCAACATATGCTGACAACTTTCCTCAAATCAATGTGTGATGCTGTGATGACACAGTAGAATATTAAGCTAAATGGGTAGTACTTGGGACTCTGCAGTATTTTACTGATGTAACAGATAAAAATTATGTTGGTGGGTCGTCATTGTGCACACTTGAATTTTAATTTATGTAAGAGTGAATTGTGTGACACAGTCTATATCTGGTATAGGCAGGAGCTTGATGCCTTTACTCAGGACATGAAGCACATTGTTTCTTGTAATCATAAATTAGTAGGGCTGATTATGGTGAAAATTAGAAGTCAACCCTTAACAAAAAAAGATGGGGCTATTAAGTTTGGCAGCATGGAACACATGTGTTATGTAGTAGAATTTAAGTTGAACTATTGAGAATATTTAGCATTAAATAATAAAATATAATGTTTTTTTAGCTCATTGTAAGTATTCTGAAGGCGTCACTAGCTGGTCTCTGGGCTATGAAAAATCACAATTTGCTGTAATTTTTCAGTAGAGTGTAATAATGCAGCAGCTAGCCCAAAATTATTTACAGTAACTTTCCCCCAATAAGTTGTTGCTGAAGAACATGTTGCCATATGATAGTTACATGACATAAACACCTTGGGTGCAGTTATATGTAAGATTTTAGTGTTTCTAGGAGTCATGGTAATCTTTTGGATATTAGTTCCAAATTTCCTCTGAACAGAGCCACATAGCAGTGCAAGCATGTTGAAAGTTTTGTAATGGTCTCTTCTTGCACAGAGGCTGAGGCACATTTATAAATCAGTGTGCCGTAGGCAGCTGCTAGCAAACTTTTTTTGTAATGCTAATTTTTTTCTAACTCAAACGTTGCTCAGTGCTGTATTGGTGTGATTAGAGACTTAGTTGATCTGGTACCAGATTTGTGATATATCATTCAGGAATAAGCCTTAGTGACTTAAACAAAGTAAGAGCAGATCTTCTGTGTGGATTCTGTGTTGAAGCATTCTCACCTGTTAGTCAAATGTAATACACACATTTCGGGAAGGAAGTCTTCTCTTGCCTACATTTCTGCAAGGCTGTTCTCTCACCATTGAGTTCACCTGGCAGAGTTAGACCCACAAAGACAGAACAGAAGGAGGATTGGTACTGAACTCATCCATCTGTGGCCAAATACGATCAGCTCTGCTAGTGTTTATTATGTGCATTGCACCATGTAGGCACAGTATTTCTTAGGGTGTGGTTTCTCCAGAGCTTTAATCCAGTGTAATTGAAGGTTGCTAGTGAGTTAGTAATGGAACTGCTTAATTTCTCCTGGTCTACCTATTCTTTTCTCTCTCTGTCTGTTTCATCTTTTGTGCAGGCACTGGAGTTCACCAACCCAGGGCGAGTAATTGAAAACAAACTCTCCTCTTTTTGCATGGTGGTTTTGGTTTTTTTCACCCCAGCATCCTGTGTTCAGAGTCTTCTCATGGCTTTGTGAGCACTGGTGCCAGCACAAAGATGATGACAAGGGAGCAGAGAGGGACCCAAACTATCACTTTGTTTGAGTAACCTTGAAGCAGGCACCCTCAGAGTTTATGTAGGTCTTCTAGGCTGGGCAGCACACCAAATCCTGAAATAAGTCCAGAGGCTGTGGCTGACCAATCATCATCATGGTTCTCTTTTGCTGGTTATTCTTGATGACTCCTATGAGAGGAGCTAGAGTCAGAGTTTACTATGTTTAGTAAGACACTTTATGTATCAGATCGATTTTCCTTGATTATCTGAGGCTGCTACTGACTCTGCCTGCTTTCTTCAGGTCTGACATGGAAGAAATTGACTCTTAAGATTATTTCATATTTATGCCAGCTAAGGATTTGATTCTCAATACTAGAAACTCTTTCAGTGTAGTTAATGAGCATGCGCATCGGCAGTTGCTGCTACTAAGAGTATAGATAAAAAATACCATGGTAAGACTCTGCTTCTAGTGTTTAAAAGATGATCACCACAGAAAAACCCAAAAGTTAAAATGTCTCATTCTGTAGCTGCATACCTTGCTTGTGTTGATTACACAAAAGTAATACAGATAATTCAGAAGATCATCACCAGTGTTTAAAAGATGATCACCACAGAAAAACCCAAAAGTTAAAATGTCTCATTCTGTAGCTGCATACCTTGCTTGTGTTGATTACACAAAAGTAATACAGATAATTCAGAAGAAATACCATGACTAAAACTACTGAATGGAGTACCTAAAGTACCCTGTTCCCTTTCTTTAAAATACTTGGAAGCAAAGCTAGTCCTGTCTTTTTTAGCATTTTTGATGGGGAGAAAAAGTATTTTTGCTTGCTTCAAGGACCAAGAGAGAGACAGAGTAGGATGGAAAACTGTTGATACAGCTTTCCTGACACAACAGGCTAACACTGTAGGAAAAATGGGAGCATTCAGATCTTTATTCATGGGTTATTAGCAAAAAAGCTTGATCATAGGTATTAAAAATGCATGTCAGTTTGAATATCATAAGTATCCACATACAAGCTGACCTTTTTCCTCTTCTGTTATTTTTCTGGAGGAGTGTTGCTTAGCAGAGCTCTGCCTAATGCAATGGGATTGGCTTGCGTTATGCTGACTTTGTTAGAGAATGTTTGGAGTTGGACAAAAAAAGGAGAGCAAAGAGCCTTTCTAAGATTGTTCTGGCTGGGGCTAGATAGCTAGATAATTCTCTGTGAAAGAATTAAGGTTGAGCCTTTTACCACACCATTGAGTGATCATTCTGGGGATCTGGTCTCCTTTTTAGCAAATAGCAGGCAGGGTTGTGTGGAAGACAGGTGGCCAAAACCTGTTAGCACTTTACTTGCTTGACTCTCTGAAACAACTTGCCATTTACTAGTCTGTTTCCAAATTAGTGGTTGTTCCTGGGAGCAAGCAAGCCATGCAGCTAATATTCATTAGCATAATTCTTGTTAAATTAATAAAGGTCAAAATTAAGCCACCTGGAAGGTCGTGGGGCAGCAGTTTTGGTGATGTAGGTGACAAGAGCAAGGTTAGGGACCAGGAAAATTTGGATCCCAGCACCTCTGCCCTTCTTGTGATGACTTGACTGTTTCCTCTTATCTACTTTCACTATTGCTCTAGTAATGGCATGACCAAAGTTTATACTCTTGATGGTAGAAGTCAAAGTGTGTATTTTCTCACATTCAGCAGGTAACACATCTTTTTTTTGGAGACTCCATGCTCTGTTGCTAGTGCTAGCAAGCTGGGTTTAAGTCAAATGTTTTTAGAGAGATACCTGTTTTTACAGTTGAATTTTTGTGCCTTAAAAAGAAACAAGTAAGTTCTCATAAATGTTCTTTGAGAGCTGTATCAATGATATTCTGGGGATGTATTGGTGGCTTTTTTTCTCTTCCTGTTATTTTAATTATGTTCCTGCAACAGGAGTTTGACTATGACTGCCAGTAAAAACAGTTAGGACCAAACCTAAGTGGTTTAAAAAAACCCAGAACTTCCCTCATCCAAACAATAAAGCAGAACTGAGCTTTTCTGAATGCAGATACATGGATATTTATTTGTGATACTAGTACAGGAGCCAAAGTTCAAAATCTACTCTTCCTCTGAATGCGATGTTCTTATTTAATGAATTGAATTGAATAGATCCTGCATTTGTATTTTTATTTGGCCAATGGGAAAATGCTTTTTATTACATTTATTTGTTTTAAGGTATTTTAGTATTTTAATTATTCTTTACCCTATTAAATCTGCATGGGTTGCCTAGCAGTTCTTACTGCTTTGCTTCCCATCTCTCTCAAAGCTATATTTAAATATTCATGCTAAAGTAAGCAATAAGAGGTTTTCTACTGTGTTTGGAGAGATCTGGACTTGGTTCTTTCTTTTAGCAAACTAATACAATCACCGGTTTGCCATCAGTTTTCATATTTCTACCGATTTTATTTTTTCCAG